TCCAGACTGGGTGACAGAGCAACACTCCATCTCAGAAACAACAACAACAACAAAAGATTTGCTGAAAACCCCCAAGTGACTTGGAAAACGCATGTCCAAATGAGGATATGTCTTTTTGATGAGGGAAGGCTGAAACCTGAGTGCCTCCACCCTTGAAGTTGAGGTGAACCTCCTTCGTGCATATGAACCACAAAATCATTCCTCCCGGGTCTCAGTTGACTGTACCATGATGCTTCAGTCAATGGAAAGAATGTCAGTGCTTATCAGTTTATGGCAATTCCGGGGGAAATGTAGACCATGTTAAGGTTGTTGGAAGCTTCATTGTTAGGACTGTCTTGAGAAAAACCTGTAGAGTTTCCTGCAAAGTGACCACCAGCTTGGCTTTTGTGAAAGAAATGTGGATTACTATCATCAGCCAACAGGTTGCAACCTTTCAATAGTGAACAGCTGCAAAATGTGTTTTCCTATTAACCTATCTATTTACTTACTTGTGCCAAATGGCATTTCCCCTTCTGTAGTCTTTCCCACTCCTGTTACATCTTCCACAGCTGCACGTGCAGTGAGCGATCTGGATTGCAAAGGGCTTCGCTGGCAGAGCTGGGCTGGTAAAACCCAAGCCTCCATTCAGGGAGTCTTATGGAGAGATGCATTAGACAGGCTTGGGCATTTAAATGGCCCACTGATGAGCCTTTGACCTTAACTCCTTGTGGTTGTGTTGGAGGAAGGCAAGTCTTTCTGGCCACAAAACTGAGAATGAAAACGGTAAGAGTTGGGCAAAGATGGGAGAGGCCACTCTGATCACTCCAGGGAGACAAGGCTTGGGTTCCTGGGACAGGATTTTCATCAATTTTTGTGAATGAGAAAAGTCTGATGAGCCTTCGCTGTGCACAGGAATCCAAACTGCTTGTCCCTCACTGACTAGATGTCTAATCTTGGCTTGAAACGAGTTATTCATGCTCTCTACCTAAAGGTTCTCATCTATAAAATGGGAGTAATTCATACCCCACACAGTGTTGGGAGGAGGAATTGATTAATTAATGTTTACAATCCACTTTGAACTTGAAAAGGCTTCTTGGGAAGTTGTTATTAAGCCTATATCATTTTTACTTTGAGTTCTGGGGTGTGTCTAAACCTGAAACTCAAAAGAAACCTCACAGTGCATCCCACCTGCCACCCTGAAGGAAGACAAACTGTAATAAGATTAATGCAAGTTCCCTGAAAATGGCTCCCCTTTAACCAGTAGACGCTGTGCTCTTACAGTGTTCTCCAGGGATCCTGACTCAAAAGGAGAAAAAAAAAATAGTAACCGTCTTCCATGCAAAGAAGTAGGAAGCAGTTCTTTGAACTGAGAGGGGTAAGGGTGGGAGGATTCTGTTTTTTGCTAAAGGGAGCTGTCAGTTCTCAAAAAATTTAGTTCCTGACCCCCTGCCTTCAAGTCCCTGAGGAAGCCAAACAGAGAATCTGACAGCCAGAAGAGTTTGTACATAAGGCATTAAAGAGTACTCAATATAATTTAATTTCTATCCCTGCTAATCCATCCTCAACAGCAAAACAATCAAATACAGCCATTTGTTTGCACTGAGGTAATTGGGCTGTAGTCTGGGGTTAGGTTTGCCACATAATCTAAGGTAATACATGGCAGAGGGCATGTTAAGGGGCACTGGCTCTGTGAAACTCAGTGGGGGATACCCTTTCATTAAAACAGGGGAAAAAAAAAAGTTATTTTGTGCGGGGGAAAAAAAAATCACAATAACTAATCCTTTTAGAGAGCCATCAGACCCATAAAGATAAAAGAAAACAAAACCAAACCTGTGCCCAGCTGTTCAGTAAGCCACATCCGAAATTACAAGCACACTCATCTCTCAGCACTGACCCTTCGATCATTGTTTCTTGCCGAAGAAACAGCCACCTGTGATATGTATCAATACCAGGCCTGCACAGTTGTGTTACATTTTTCTTGCCGGAGGCTATAGCTCGAGTTTTAAGTCAGTTGAGTCTATACAATAGAAGCTCATATTGACTGTTGGATTAAACAGCAAGTCAATTTATTTTTCTGGGTTCAATATTCAAGGATTTAAGAGAGCGAAGAGATCCTCCAGATGTGCTTTTGTGAGGCAACCGTAACCCACTTACATTGCTGTGATGCTTTTTAAGCCATTTGAAATAGCATTTGCACACCCCTTGCTCAGCAGTTCAATACACTCCTCCACTATCGTTATTTTACTCCTTCCCTGTGCTGCCAAGATTGCGTTTTGATTCTTGGTTCTCCAAAGTGGCTACTAGAGGTGAGCACCTAGACTCTGCTGCATGAGGGGTCTCTTTCTACTTCACCTCTTAGAGTAAATGCCTACCCTGCTGAGTAAGGATGTTAAAATGAAAGTGTAATCTATCTGGGGACTGCAGCCTACAGTGATAGGGGGCAGGGCATGCAATTTTAATTTCTCTCCCAGAAATGATCAAATTTAGGCAGTAGGCTATTTCAGCATCTTAATATCAGGTGGGACTAGGAAAGATTATGCCGTTTTAGAGATAGAAGTGATGGAATGGGCACACATTAAGTATTTGAATTAAATCAAACTTAACTGGAGAAACTGAGGCCCAGAGAGGCAAGGTGATTTGCCTAAGGTCACACAGATGTGTGCAAAGCTGGGACTGCAACCAGGATCTCGTGATATCTAGGCCATCAATTTTCCATGATACCAGGAGGCTGTTCGTTGCGATTTCTGCGTATCTGTGTTTCTTCCTGAGCAAATGTTCTGGGTCTTATTTTGTTCTGTATTCAGCTTTTCACTTAACTAATTGGAATATATTTTGTTAGTCAGGACTAAATTGTGAACATTCTTATGCTTTGTTTCCGTGTAGTTGTTTTGGCTTTGTTTTTGCTCATCTTAAAGGGCTCCTGATGTTTTAAGAGTATGGGACTGCTTGTACAGAGTAATAACATGCATTCATTTATTTAGTAAATATTTATTCAGCACCTACTATTAACTAGGCACTGCTCCAAGTACTAGAGATATGTCAATGAACATAAACACAAATATTCATGTCTTTGAGGAGCATATATTTCTTCAGAGACAAGACAGACAATTAGCAGTAAATATAAGAAATAAATTGTATAGTGGTACAAGGTGATAAGTGCTAAGGGAAGAAGGAAAAATAGGACAAGGAAAAAGGGAGGCAGGTTGCAGGTTTAAACAGAATGGTCAGGATAGGACTACATGAGTCCAGAGATGGTAATTGCTCTGTTACTGATGCCATGTGTAGACAGTGGTTGGTACAGAGAAAGATTTAAGGACTCGACAAGAGCTCCACTCCCCTAACCAGACCCGGACCCCAAGCTCTGGGAACCCCACACCTTGTTTCTCTGCCTTTTACAGCTATGGCTCAGTTGCAAGCTTCTTACCCTTTTAGTGGAGGATCTATGCTCTGCTGTGCCTAGCTCAGTTTGGTTTGCATAATTTAAGAGGAACAGAAGAGAACATGTACTTTAATAAAGCCTGGTTGTGAAGTCTTTGATGCGCCTTCCTTTCTTTCTCCCCAGCACCCGGCTCTCTGTTGGTGCTCACTAGTTCCCAGCTCTTTGCTCCCTACCAGGCAGCCTTTTGCATCTTTAAATGCCTGGGTAGACTTCCCCCTGTTTTTTTTCCCCCCTCTCCTGAAAACTTTGCCAGATTACCTAGCCATCTGACAGACTAATCCAAGATGAAGGGGAAGGGGCTGATATTCTGGAACACATTCCCCCGACCTGACATTTACGTGTGAACAATAACAATAGCAAACACATCATTCCCTTTTGATGTGTGCCTGGTACTGTTATCAGCATTTTCACAGTATCAACTCATTTAATACGCACCATATGAGAAAAAGACTGTAGTTACCTCTTTTTACAGTTGGTGAAATAGAGACACAAAATAACTTAAGTCCCACAGCTTTTAAGTGGCGGAGCTGGGATTCAAACCCCAGCAGTGTAGGATTATTCAGTGGAACCTAGAACTGTGAGTAGGATTCAGGTCCCATGTCAATTTCATTTGATTGGTAGGTACTGTTTAAGGTACTGTAGTGAGAAAGATTCATGGACTATTTGGGTATTAATGGGAAAGAATACTGTGATTGATTAGCAATGTCTGCCATGGGTTCAGGATGGGGTAGGGACAGGCTCTGCTTGGCCAATGAGGGAGATATTAGGGGGCTGGTCCTTATTAACTTATACTATAGAGTCTAGTATACCAGCTAAATCCGTTCTTATTCTCTTATTGTATGCTTTTTCTCCCACAAAAAGAGTGAGGTCAGGAGCACAGAGGATTCAGTCTGAAGTGCATCTAGTGGCGGGGAGGAAAAGGGGGTAGGAGTTGGGATGAGGCCTGCTAAAGCTGGTCATGAGTTGGGATGAGGCCTTCACCTCAAGCTGATTGGTTATCACAATATCCTGGGTGCTATCTAAACTCAATTCTAGCCGAGCCAGCAAAATACCTTCCCCTTCGACAAAGTTTCAGGTTCCCATCGAATAACCGATAAGGACTAAGCCACAGAATTGGAGGTTGAACTAGTTCACACACAGGCATTGCTGACTTCTGCAGATCTGACGCCTCCTCCGGCACTTAGGGATGGAGGAGATGGAGTCAACGGGTAGAAGGAGTCGAAGCCCCAGGTAGGAGGTACGTTTCCCCTGCCGAATTGTATTCCATAATGACCCAGCCGTGAAAGGATGAGGTGCTTCATGAGACAATTCTTCTATGTCAGTAATTTTAAACCTAAAGAGGTTTGCTGTCCCATAAGCATATTCATCTTTCCATGTTTATTAAATTAAGCCCTCCATGAATCTGCAACACCATACTGTTCATTAATAGGGAAAGAGACCATTGTTTCCCCCCAGGGAATATGTTGGCTCAGATCTGTTCCAAGGTAGGCATAAATGAATTGTGTGTGTATGTGCACGTGCCTTGAGTAGGGGGTAATCGGGGAGGGGAAAAGAGCAAAGAGGGGAAGCAGGAAAAGAGATCTTAAAGCTTAGACCAGAAATATCCAAGAAGGATTTTTATCAGGACTAAATTTCAGTACTCCTGGCAGAGTGCCTAGCAAGATACGAGTTTTAATAAAGAGAAAAAGGAACGTGTAATTGTAGTATCTCCATAGGAAGAAAACTGCAGATCTGTTTGGGAGAACCCCCACACAAGTTTGAAAACAGCTTACATATAGGAAAATCAGGGTGGTTTTTTTTCCCCCTTCTAGCAACATTAACATAGTCAAACAACTGAAGAGAGAATTCTATTAACGAAGTCAGTCCCATCAAGTTAAAGCCCAGTCATACTGCCATCAGGGCTCGGTAGGGAATCTAATCATTTGCAGCTTGGACCAGAATAACATGGAAAACTCATCCATTTAGAGTCGTGTTACTGCTAGTGCTGAAGGCAAATTCAGGAAGCCTGACACAGTTTAGGGAACTTAAGAGAGAAGGATTGAAAGAAGAAAGAAGGTGAAAGAGATTTTGGCAGCCGCATGATTCATAGGTGAGAAATCTTAGACGTGTGGGGTGTCTTAGGCCTCACTTGTTTCAGGACAGCACACTTTCTTCAACGAATGTTACAGTAACATATTCAAAATATCAGTCACAAAGGAAGTTGAGGAAATGTGTTGAGTAATCATGAATTGATACTATAATTACCCTAAATTTTCAAGTTTCCAGTTAAAGCCAATGGTTGTTTTGTAATAGAATCTAAGGAACATGGTTATACTGTGGGTTCAACAAAAGAAAAAGCTTTCATCCTCAATTCTTATGCTCTGCTTTAGGGTGAAATTACCATGAGAGTGGCAGACTACAACCTTTAGAAAGAGACCTGCAAACGACTTCTGTCCGTTCAGAAATACCAGTGACCAGTGTGGTACATCTCAGGGCTTTAGTGTAAAGGAAGATAAAGACTTTGGGGTATTTGTGTTACCTAGTTATGGGTGCATCCATTAGGACTCCCAAATACTTCTAAGACTGGTAGCCAGCCGCCCAGGGCAGTAAGCAGGGTTGGGAAACCAGAGAGGGGCTTTCTCTTTTCTTGGCATGCACTCTACTAGCAGAAGCGGGAATACCCACAGCCATGTGAGAATGAATTCTTAGGAAGGGATGCCTGGTGGGGGATCTGGGAAGGAGACTGGAGCTCTGTGATTCTTCTGAAGTCTGTTGATGGCCTGTCAGGATAAAACAGGATAAAACTGTTACCAGTGTTGGCTCTTCGATTAGGACAGATTCTCAAATGGAGACATCACAGAATGGGGCAATACATTTGATGATGAGTATCATGACTGGTCTTGACATTGAAAAGTGCTACACAGACTCAGCTGACCCAGATCTCTGACCAAAGCCGATCCGTTCAGAGCAGTAACATGATCAGGTTCCCTGGGGTAGAAAGCAGGGAACTGCTCTATTAGGAATCCCCAGGAGCCATGGCCATGGGTGTCTACCAGGTTCTCCAGTCTGAGTCAGGCCAAAGGCACGTGCTAGTATCAAAAGGTCTCACAGCTGTGCCACGTTAGTGATCTCCACATTGCTGCTGAATGCTTCTGACTTATGCCTCCCCAGAGGGCCAAACCGAATTCCATGACCAATTAGTATCTTAAAGCTGGGAGAATCCCTGTTTCAGTGAAGCAGGCACAACTATCATCAAGTCTTTCTTATGCATCACATAAATGTGAAGCATACCCTTTCAAAAACAGAGCTCTTGGCCTTTGCAGTTGGAAAATTTCCATGTCTAGGTAGGGTAGTGTCAAGTCTGATTGACCAGGTAGCACTGGATGTTTCCAAAGTCGTTACTGACCTGACCTTTCTTGAGTCTTTATGAGCTTCTCCATTCAATGGCTAGAAGTTGCCCCTGAGTTCCTGAGTTTATCTGGACTCTTCTGCCACTGTGTGACCTTCACTAAGTGACTTCTCTTTTCTAGGTCTCATTTCTTTACCTCTAACATGCAGAATTCTCTTGCTCTCAATTCCAACCCCTTTTCTGTAACCAGACTTAATAGGTATTGGGGTATCACTTAGTGAAGTAGATTTCGGAGTAAATCAGTATTGGTAAAATTATTAGTAAAATCAGTATTGGTAAAAGTACCAATGTAAATTTTTGAAGTTCAAAACTGAGCTGTGGTTATGTAAGAGATTATTCCCATTCTCAGGAAACACACACTGAAGTATGCAGAGCTAAAGGACCACGTATATACCATATCCTCAAATGGTCCAGAAAACAAATTATGTACCTTCATATAGAGCCAGAGAAAGAGAGAGAGAAAAAAGGGTTTTAAGTAAATCACTATGAATGATAAAGCCAGCACCAAGTATATAAAGATCATTCTTCAAGCCAAAGTTCACTGTAGATATTTAAAGCCAAGAGCCTGCCAGAAAGCCTGTGACTCCCTGTGTTCCAGTTTTCATAGACTTGTCAAGAGGGATCAAGGCTTCATCCCCCCAACCTTCAGGTGCAAATGAGCTGTCAAGGGAGGTTTTCAGAAAGCAGTAAAGAGCCCCGTCCTTAGAAGCCAAGAGAGTCTGGGTCTCCCATTTTAGTCAAAGGAAGCTAAATGGAACTTGCAACTCAAAATGTGTAATGATTCACCCCATGGTAATAAAGCAGCCCTGGAAAACTCCCTAGCGGGATTAATCTTAATCGGCAATTAAGATAAAGCCTGGGCACATGCTAATCCAGGGCTTAATCGGAGACATTTTAATGTGCTGCTGTGGTATGGATGTAAGACTGGGATTCCACTAATTGAGCCTGGAATGTGGGTGTGAGGAGGAGGAATCACAGTACATGGGTTGCCTGTAGATCCAGCAGTGAAATGATGTTTTCTAGGCAATTGTGGCTAGTATGGCCCCTACGTGTGGCTCACCTTGCCATTGTGGCACACGGGTGCATGAACGCCTCACCATCTTTCCTGTAGCGCCACAAGAGCCAAAAGGAAAAGCAAGCTCCTAACAAGATATACAGTAGATGTCTTGCTTTACTTATCATATTTTAAAAGCCCTGGTGCATGAGATGATGACTCATACAAGGTAAGTGTGGGGACCCATATGAGGAAAAGCAAAACAGTTTTTTTTTTTTAAAGAAAAACATTTAAAACAGTTTTTAAAGAAACTCAAAGCTGACATTAATACTCTATTGTTTTTTCCCAGAAATTTGTTTTTTGGCATAATTCTAAAATCCAGACAATCATATGAGATAGCTTGTAAGTATAAATTTCCAGTGGCCAAGACATAGTACCCTAGGTTAGCAAGAGAATCCTGCCATCTGCTTGCCAGCTGCTTTTGTCTCCAATTGTGTTATTTTTAAAAATCCCACCTTGTCAGCCATAATTTGAAAATTTGATGCTGGCATATGCCCTGAAATTCTCATTAGAAACTCAAGCATCCGGTTTAAACAATATACTTAGAAATGTTTATTCCATGTTCTTGGCCTCACCATTAAATGTACTCCAGCACCATCCTATCTATGTTTTCCCAAGATCTCATGTATCCTCATGACCCTTAGAGGTAGGGGAGGAACCAGGCCTTTCTCCCAGATGAGACAACTAATCTGCAGAGAGAACAAGTGGCTTGCCCACGTAAGACTGAGTTTGCATTACTTATTCTTCACTTGTCCATAAGAAATGAACCTGGCTACCAGGTTTTTAATGAGGTATGTGATGGAGTTCATGCTCACATTGTGGAGATGGGGTTGAGCCCTCCCTCAATGCAGGGAAATAAGTGTGAGAGACGTGAAGCTGCAAAAGAGAGCAGCTCAGTGACAATCAATAGTGGTCTTTTTATCAGTAAGTATCTCATGAGCACCAACTATATGAAGGGCCTAGTGCTGGACACTGCAAAGCACACAGAGAAGTGTAAGGCAAGGTCACTGCTACCCAAGAGCTTGTGCCTTCTTGGAAAGAATGCAGTATGCAGTGTACCGATGAAATGTTAGCTGAAGCTCCCAGGCAAGTGTGTGAAATGTACCAATGAATGGTCCACCCAGAACGAGCTCCCTGGTCTAAAAGAACCAAGAGATTACTTTTGGCTGTGTGTTCAGGGAAGGCTTCCCTGAGGAGTCAGTCTTGAGTAATCCAGGGCAAGAAGGAAAGGAGGCATTCCAGCTGGGAAAGTAACTCAAAACTCAGTGGAATGGAGGATGGGAGGATAGGGGGAGTTGGATATGGCAGAAAATAAGGCAGAAAGAAAAGAGAGTCCGCCTAAGTGGGACTCAGAAGTACCTACCTTAAGAGTTAAATCTTGTTCCTGTATGCACTGTGGATATAGTTGCCAGATTTGGCAAATAAGAATACAAGATGCCCAGAGAGGTTTGAATTTCAGATAAACAATGAATAATTTCTGATATAATTATGTCCCAAATATTGCATGTGACATACTTACACCAAAGTATTATTTGGGGCTTATCTGAGATTCAAATGTAACTGGGTATCTTGTATTTGATCTGACAACCTTAACTGTAGAGTTCTTGAAGATTTTGGAGTTAGAGGAGTCCCATGAAATTAAATCTCTTCCAATAACGAGCCTGAGAATCATACAGCAAGAACTGTGACAACTAGCCAGGCATGGTGATGGGCCCCTGTAGTCCCTTCTACTCAGGAGGCTGAGACAGGAGGATCTCTTGCACCCCAGAGTTTGAGGCCAAAGTGCACTATAATTGGGCCTGTGTGTAGCTGCTGAGCTCCAGCCTGGGCAACATAACAAGACTGGGTCTCTAAAAAACAAACAAACATAAAGGAGCATGAAACCTCACTCATCCTACGCTTTCCTTTATGGGAAAGCTCATTAGAAATTTTATGCCCCAGCTAAGGGGTTCCCTGTAGCTGAAACTCATGAATTACCTGGTTATGAGATATAAGCTTAATATGAACCATGCATTCAATAATGACACAAATGAGGCATTTGTCCCTGGGAAGGCTGGTTAGTGTAGAGCTGAACTGGGCTTTGAAAACCTCATTTCTTACACACCCCTGACTTATAGGCTTTCCACACCTGCCTGTGTCTGCTGGTCAGTTAAGAAACACAAAAGGAAATCAGACATAATAGGCATGACATAAAAAACAGAATAGGAAAATCACACTGGACTACTACAATTTTCATTAAAACCTTTTTCTCCAAGAAAAAAAAAAGGAATATATTTTTTGAACATTTGTAATTTTTAGATTTTAAATGGGCAGCATTCATAAACAAAAAGCTCTTTAAGGAAGGTGTAAATTGTGCCTTTTTAAAATGACTTTTCCTCCCTACCCTAGTACCCACAGTAATGAACACTCCTACCCAATCAAAATATGAAAACAAAATTGGAGCTGTGTCAGCATCTTGGCTGCAAATAAAACTCAAAACAGGTTATAGCACATGCTAGGAATACAAAATAAGGTTAGAAATAATGCTTCAGCTGTGAGTTCTTCAGGCTGTGGAAATAATAGAGCATAATTTAGTAGAAGAGGAACTAGGCAGTCAGCATACACAGGAAAAATGAAAGAAGCAAGAAAAATGCAAGGGGTAGGAAACAGGGTTGGAAGAAATTGGAGGGGGGCAATGGGTGGCTAATTATTAGAAGAGAAGGAAGGCCCAACCTGGTCAGAGAACATTCAGGAGCAGAGAGGGTGGCCTGCTTCAAGAAACTGCTGGTCGTGTTGAGTTTTCCGAGGTGATTCCAAATGGATATCAGACCTCAGAGAGGGATACTCGTGGCATAAGCATTTATAACATCAATGTCTGACTCCCAACGAGACCAGAAAGAAGAAATCCACTGAGACCTAAGCAGGTTTTTGCTACCTGGTGACCAGAACATTCGAGGATGGTTTATTTTATTAGTCTAAGATTATCCCCTAAACCCTAACCAAATTTGCAGAGCAGCTCTGTAATTATCTTGGCTTACAGGTGCAGATGTCAGCTCCAGTGCTCTAACAAATGGGTTTTCTTTTTGTTTTTGCAACTTCATCAAGATATTACTAGTCCAGATTCCCCCCACCCTGTAAGAGCACCTAACCCTGGTGAATAAAGACGAGACAGAAAGAGTTAACAGACTTTCTGCTTCATATCGTATTTGCAAGAGGCTTATCGAGACATTTCTCTCAAATAGCAGTTTGCACATTTACTTTCATTCTAACTCAGAGTATCTTTCTTAAATATTTATTATGGAAGTTCATTTGCCTTTGTACTTTACTTCCTGGGACTAACAGTTAAGAACCTGTTATTAGAAGAAAGAGCTGGCCTTCCTTTACTCTCTGTTCACGCCAGGTAAAATAGTTCTAAAATATGATCGCAGGCATACACCAATCTTGAATAGGGCATCAGTTGGCTGATTAGGATGATGACCAAAGTTTCACAAGCTGTGTTCACTGTGAATGTTTTAAAAATAACCACAGTGCACATTCAGTGAAGATTTGTCAAGGATGAGAAATGAAATAATGACGATTGAAACTCCCCTAAATGCATTACAGCCTCTACTCTGCATGCTTTTTGAAATAATCATTTTGTGGAGAAGACACATCATTGCCAAAGTCAGCTCCTCCCTCCCACCTGGTCAGTTCTTTCTCATTGTCTGCATGTGATGAGTTCATTAGACATAACAAAAATCCATTTTATCAGGGCAGCCTTCACCTCTGTCTGTCAGTGCACCTGCTCTTAATTTTACCACTTATGATTCAGTGGTGAGATGGATTTTAAGCTTTGGCCTCTGGTTTGGTTTATTCCACGTCTGTACTGCTCCATATTGATTTTTGTTAAATGAGGCCTTTAGCGGTTAGCTGTAGAAGCAATTATTTAACACTTTCAAAAATAGTATGGGAGTGGAAAATAAAAACTGAAAGTTCAGTTGAGGTCCAGCCAGTGATTTGGAGGCATGTTGGTTTCCCATAACCCACATGAGAAAGAGATAGTCAGCCAGCCTACAGCTCACACCTGGGCAAACCTGCCCACCCTTTCAGGTATGTTAACAGGCTCTTGGTGGAGTTGTTTCTTTCTTGATTAACTTTGCAGCCCCATCATGATCCCACGGTGCACATATGCCATTTCCTCATTACCCGTTCCATGCCCAGCAAGTTTCTGATGTGTTTCAAATTCGAAGTCGCTTGATGGATGTATCTGGGTATTGGAAGGAGTGAGTGCGTTGCCATCTGGCAAAAGAGCAGAGAGTGGCAAAGTCTTGTTAAGCAGAAAGTTTGGAGGATAAACAAGGGTGTCATGATGGGGGATGAGAAAACAAATGGAAACACAAATGGAATTTACTGTTGTCTTTCAATTCAATTTCACTTCCCCCCAAGGAGACCTTGATAGGTATGTGATTCAGCCTGGAAAGCTCCACCCATAGGCCACCCTGCGTGGAGTACTTCCTGCATGTCAGGCATCTGTGCTGGGCGTGGTGGTGTGGAGTGATGAATGAGATTTGGCCCTGCCCTTTAGGAACTCACAGTCCAGTGAAAAGCAACCAGTATGTTGACCTTTTACCACGAGACATTTGAGTAAAAATGGAGCCTCTAGGAGCCCCAGTGTTAGAAAAACTGACCCAGAGGTCATGAAAACCTTCATAAAGGAACTAGCAATGAATCTTGGTCTTGCAAAGAAAGAAGAGGCTTGCAGGTCCAGAAGGGAAGGTGAAGACAGGGAATAGAATACACAGACACAAGAAGTGATCAAATGGCCAAGAATATCTAGGGTACAGTGAGAAGTGTCCAGACTAGAGCAGAGCTGAGTGACGGCGGGAAAAGATCTGGGAGCCCAAACTGCACCCTTCCTGGGGACTTTCTTGCATTTCCAATTGGAAAGAAGAATGCTTCAAAGCTGATAGATCTAGTTCCAACACCCAGCTCCTCTATCATCAGCTGTGTGAAATAGGGCAAGGTACTTAAAAACAGAAAGCCCCAATTTTTCCTGTGTAAAGTGGTTATTATAATCCAAGATTTGCAGATGTGTTGGAAAGATCAAATGAGATGGCATGTTTAGAGAACCTGCTGGTGTCCCCCAAATATTCCACTTAGTATTATTTGCCTTTGTGTGTGTCTTTATCATGGACCACAGACTCAAAAGGCCAATGTCCCAGCAGGTAACATCAAGATATCAAGAAAGCCAAGGCTAAGGTACCTAATGGTATCTGTCCCACCAACTCAGTTTAGAAAAAAATACAAATCCCCACTAAAACGGGACCCATGCAGGCAGGAAGCCCTGTATAATCACACCTTCCAATTTTCCAAGAGGAGCTTGAAGCACCACAGATTTCTAAGTGAAATTTCCCATCCTTTCTGTGTTCGTTACTAATCTGAATTTAAAACACAGTGTAGGCAAAACAGTGCATGTCTATGGGCCGTACACAACCTGTGGGCTGCCAGTTGACAGCCTTTGATCTGTCTTCTCTCCCACCACATTACAGGCTCTTACAGGGCTAGTGCTGTGGTTGTTAATGATTCATATCAGGGCTGGCTCTTGGCAGATGCTTCATGGTTGGAGGGCACTGACTTTAGCCACATACAGACATCGACACCAGGGGCGAGGAAAAGCAAGCCAACAAGTGAGGTGTTCAAAAGTGCAGAATTCAAAGAGTGACCCAATGCCATAGCACAAGCCCAGGAATGAAAACTTTTAAAACTCGGCCCCAGCAAGAAGCTCCTGGGAGAGGAGCAGATCCTTGGGAAAAAAAAAATGTGCAGTCTGTGAAGGGCAAAGTTTGGCAATCTATTAAACAGCAAGTTACAATAGGCGAGTGCAGAGATCACAGAGGCTGAGATTAATGTACACACATCTATACAGGGAACTTTGATGCTTTCAAATGCCTCCTCGCCATCTGAAAATCAGGCAGCAGGCATCGCCTACATATTTCACAGCAGTCTACCTGTCTGGGTGTTTGGGCTTGACAGCAGGAAGCTCTTTGAAATGAGGCTGAGGCATTTCAAACACTTCTGCTTGAATATCCAGTTTGTATATTCTGTCGATGCCTTTTTAAATTGGCTTTATTTTACTTTATTATTTTATTTTACTAATTTTGGAATCTCTTATTAAGGTGAAACTGCAAAAGAGCAAATTACAAAGCCAGGATGCCTTTTGACGATCTCAAGTGAATGATACGGACACAGGCTCACAGGCTCACACACAATCCCATGTAACAAGGAAGGAGAGAAGTTACATTCACAGAGCACGACTGTTTTCAACAACAGTCCAATGAAAAGTGCCAAATGTTTGAACCTTTTGACTTCTGCCAAGATAATATCATAATGGGTTAGGGAGGGATGTTTACAGCTTTCTATGAGTAATAAATAATGTAGAAGCCGTTCATTAAAACCTTCTAAATTATAGACACTGCAGGCAAATTCCTTCTTTCAAGAAGGAAAGGATGACCTGAAAATTGGTCCCCAGTTTCTTGCCTTCTACTCTTTGATTCTTTTTGTTTATGCTTCTTACCAGAAGCTAAGTGAGTAAAGTATCCATATTGGGGGGTTTGGGTGGGCATACAAATACTTACAGGTTATAGCACTGCAAATACTTAGAGCTACAGTGCATGTAAAAATGAAGCTGGGCTGCCTTGGCCTGGTGAAATCATGCAATGGAAATCTGAAGATCTTGCATTTTATTCTGAGGTCCATCGAGGTCTTGTTCATGCTTCTCTGCTCATTTTAACAAGAAGGTGCCAATATACTGGCAGGGAGGAGGAGAGTGGAAGAATTTGCATGAGGCAGGTTCTGTGACTCAGGTTTTCAAAGCTGTTTCATGGAAGGCGAAAAAAAATACTATCCTCATCCGAATCGTGATATAGGTGTGGTAGCTTGGCTATCTCTTCCAACACCACATTGCAAGGCCTTGATTGTGGGGTGTGGGAATCTTACACAAGACCTAACCAAGCCAGAGAGGATTAGCTTTAATATCATTCAAAATCTGTCAGTAGGAGAAGAGACTGTCAGTATCCTAAGGCAATACTTAGGAACAGGTAGAAGTAGGTAGGAGTGTTTTGGGAGTGACAGAAACACCGTGATTCTGAGTTGATCTCCAGAACTCCCAGGCCTGGCTCAGTGGGCATACGTTGAATTTATTTTCATTTGGTTTGGTCGGGGGTCTTGGGAGCAAGCACTTTTGACTCATAGATGTAAACAGTAAGAAACCAAAGTGTTGAGTTGGGCCAAAGTCCTTCTCTTTCAAAAATAGCCTCTATCAGGGAAAGCGAGAAGGGGGGATTAGAAATGGGCCCTGGGTTCGAGGATATTCCCAATATAAAGCCATCCTTACTTCTAATGTAGATGTTTCAGATTCCCATGGCTTTGTTATCCATGTTGAAATTGGGCACCAGCTTTCCAATTGAATAGAAATCAAGGCAACACACGATGCTGTCTTTTGTGGTGGCAGTCTCCAGGCTGGCTTCCTTTCATGGAGGCATACCACCGAGAGGACAGGCTTCTGGTTCCAGGCACACAAGCCATCTCCAGCTAAATGATGATCCCATTTTTAAAGATATCCTTTTTATGGTTTCTTAAATGACAAGGCATTTCAAGTATAACATGGTAAAGGAGCACGATCATAATGTGGATAGAAAGAAGGTATTTCAGAGTGAGCAGGGGTGTTGAAGCAGAGCTTTATCAATAAGTGGAATTTCCTGTAAGTAGAAAGATAAATGAATTAGTAACTCAGAGTAATTTTTTTAAAAATACATATCCAGATGAAAGCTCGGATAAGTTTGATCCCTTTTAGCCAATGAAGTATGATCTCTAATTAGGTTTCCATGCAGACAGTACAGCCTTGGAGTACATTTCTGAATCTAGTTGACCTTTTCAGCTGGAAAAGCCAAATGATTTCCATTCCATGCTCTTTAATTCTGGAGGAATTTCTAATTTGTTGCCAGAGATAAAAAAAAAAAAAAAAAATTCACTCCAAACATGAAAAAAGTTTTAAATAGTCCACAGTCTCATTTATAGAATATTAAAATTTTAGAGCTGAGAGAACCCTAAGAGACCATTTTATTCCATCCCTTTATCTTACTGATAATAACATTGAGGACCAGAGAAAACTCAAAGACTTGCCCAAGGTCACTCAGGGACTGAGGACCTAGGATTAGAACCCATGTCTCCTGCTTCCCACCCCAGCTTCTCTGCTTGACGGGCCTCTTATTTGCCTGCCAGCCTTTTTTTTTATGTGGTCCAGATGTTGCTGCATCAAAGGCCCCTGGCTCAACTCCACCATCAGACCTGCTTCAGGGAAACTTCCACGGGCCAACACCTACCCTCTTGCCTTTCTTAATTTCTTTTGGAAATTCTCTATTCTCTCACCTTATTAATGTTAAAACAAAACGGGTTCTTTTATTGCCACAGGCAGCAGGAAAGTGAAGTTCTTGATGGAGGCAAGTGTCTTCCCTAGTGAGAGCAAGTAAATTAGTTCTGAGGTCCTCTCACTCACTGTAACTGTAATGAGAGACACCAGCCCTTCTTCATTAATGAGATGCCAATCACAAAGGGAGCAGCCTCAGAGAGCCTTTGGGGAAGGGGGCGGCGGGAGAGAGCAGTGATTGGCACTGTACTAAGAAGGGAGGAAGCAGAAAATAAAAGCCTCCAGAGGTGGGAAAACACACGTGGGTGATCTCAAATCTGATGGGTAGTTCCAGCGGGAACGTGAGGGGTGCCTGAATGGGCGAGTCAGCCTAGTCTATGGCAAACATCTTTGAGCAGTAGAATTCGGGAGCTACCCTCCCCCGCCGGCATATTTTCCCATATATGCTTTCCAAGGCAAGGTTGTGTTCATGCTAAAGTGTGTCCCACATGGGAATCCATATGATTGGTGACAGTTGGGCCTCATTAATGACTGGGTTCTCTTGGAAGGTTGTCAGTAGTGAACCTCCTCGCTCCTCTGCCTTAGATTTCGTCAAGAGTTTATCATGCCCTGTAACTTCCTAAACTTTTGAAAAGGAAACTTTTTTAAATTTTCTTTGAGACGGAGTCTCGCTCTATCACCCAGACTGGAGTGCAGGTGTGCAATCTCGGCTCACTGCAACCTCTGCCTCCTGGGTTCATGTGATTCCCCTGGCTCTGCCTCTTGAGTAGCTGGGACTACAGGTGTGTGCCACCACGCCCAGCTAATTTTTGTGTTTTCATGGGAGACGGGGTTTCACCATCTTGGCCAGGATGGTCTCAGTCTCTTGACCTCATGATCTGCCCGCCTCAGCCTCCCAAAGTGCTGGGATCACAGGCTTGAGCCACCAAGCTGGCTGAAAAGGTAACTTTCTAAAAGAAAGTTAAGGAACAATCATTTGATGCTTAAGGGAACTTTTTTTCTTGCATGAGATAGTTTCCCTGGTAGGAGACACTGTTCCTCAATTTGTCCAAAGAGCAAGTTAACCCAAGGACTATGTTTCTAGGGCAGGGGAAACATCTAAATAATATTTGCTCAGCTCTTCTCTCAAAAGCGGCTTGAGAGTAGGTTCTGCCCCTGGCAAGATGGTGCTTGCTGTCTTTCCCTCCCAGCTACCCAGAATGACATTTGCAGAATCGTTGAGAACGTTTTGGGAAAATGTCTGTGCAGTTTTCCCAACTCAGTTTTTACCATCTGCAGTCTGCCTTTGCTTTGGTAGACTGGCAGAAAATCTGTGCATATTGGAAACAGAACTTTTATTTGTAATTAAATGCCTTTTTCCCTGTTATTTTTTCCCTGAAAACATTTTTTTAATGAATATGGGTCTATATGAAGGTTAAAAGACTTTCAGCACTCAAAACAACTTAATAAAATGTCTGAGCACACAATTAGGCATGCTTATGTCCTTCAAGAATCAGGTAGCGGAAGTTCTAATTGGCAAAGCAGCATCTTGAATGTCATTTTCTAAACCAATTAGACTATGTCTAACAGAGAAAGAGGAGAAGCAGCAGCAGTTTACAAAATACCAATAGTGTCCCCGTTGGAGACATAATTTTAAGGTAGCAGTTAGATGATACTGAACTTGTAACAAAATGTAGCTACAAAGCCAGAGTTGCTTCAAGTAAAATGACATTTCTTGAGATTATGTGTAGGCTTACCTAATAATAGTAGGAGTAAATATGTGTATAAGCAACCTGGAGGTGCTCCTTTATTCTTTCTGTGTGTGTAGGGTGTGCAGTGTGTGTGTGTGTGTGTGTGTGTGTGATGCAATTCTTTAAAGCACGCAGTCAGCTGTAATGTATCCTCCTTTCTCTGAATTCTGGTGACCTTTCCCCATATATTGGGCAAGAAACAGGCCTGTGGTTTTGGTTTGATAGAAATACAGCACATCTGTCTTCAGTTATTCATGTATAATGCCTTAACCTTTGTGTCTGGCTGCTTCGGGTCTGTCACCATTAAAATTTACATTAAGAACCGGAAGTTTTTAATACATTCAAGCCAAAGTTGAGCCTCCCAGAGATGTTGTCTTGCCTGGAATCCCCTTGTTTAGTTGAGCAGTACTTTTGGAAAATCTGACGAGATTTACCTAGAAATTCCATTCTGTGTTGAAGACCAAAAAGGAAGAATCGCCATGGAAAATAAAGATTCATACAGCCAACAGCATTTTATTCTAGACACTATGTTTCTGCTGGAAACCTGTTTTTCAAAAACTTGGTGGACAAAATCTCATTTGTTTATTTTTCCCCTTATGTTTTAGACACCTGGGTTTTTAAAGATAACATTCTTACAGATGTTTTGGATGGATTTGTTTTCAAAAGTGCTCAAGGACTTGATTTCCAAGGACCAGACTTTTTTCTTTTCATTACCAACCGCAGTACTTTTCGAAGAAGGGGAAACTTAGCCTGCGATTGGCCTGAATGCAATAGAATCACACACCTTCCTGGTTTTAAGAAGCATTTGAAACCAAACCATGCCCAAGTGTGCTACTCGACTGCCCTTTCTAAAAAAAAAATTGTCATCTTTGTCAGACCAAACTTGTATGGTGTTTTGAATTTAATCAGAGCCATACTTAAATGGTTAGGAAGAAGGACAGAAGTCTACCCTGGAAACAGCTCATAGGAAAATGAGAGAATTTCAGTTTTACTTACTCAGGCACACCATAGAAGAGGTACTTCTCCAAGCTGGTAAATGAGCCATTTTTGCAAAAATGGAAGCAACGTTCTGGGCAAGTGCTTGAAAGTAGAAAAGCCTGGGATAGAACATTATTTTTTAAAAAAACACATCATAAAAGAGAGTTGCCCAGGTCTTCTTAACTAGTGAACTAGCTCTTCTACACATTTACCATAAGATAATTGATGTTTGTAATGCTGCCCCTAAGGCACTATAGGATCCTAAAATGCCTCCTGAATAATCAAAGAGTGATTCATTGCGTTCTGGGTGGTTTTCTTGTTGAGTGTATTTTATTGTATACTAATCCCTTTGAAAATTGGTAATACATCTGTGATGGGTACCAGAGGTTTGCAATCCAGAGCACACAGCCACAACTGGTGAGTGGGCAGCGTCTTTGGTGTACAGGCTGGGTGCCACCCCCACATCCTCTATCCGGCTGCTCGAAGAGGCAGTGTTGTCCATGGAATCTGCAGAAGTGGGTCTCCGTGAAGGCTTCATTCAACTCCTCCCTCTCCTCCCTTTCCTGCTCAGCTTGCTAGAAGGAGCCCGCATGTAAACAGCGATTCCATATTCCCACCCCTCCCTGTGCCCAAAAGAAAGGCCAGAAACTTAGGGCGGCACTAATTAGGCAGAGTCATACAAAAATTCTGATATTTGACCTCTTTTTTATCTACAAAAGCCACGTTTTCATATGACCAGTTGCAGTGGTTACAAATATGAGGCACCTGTGTGTGTCTGTGTGTGTGTGTGTGTGTGTGTGTCTGTGTGTGTGTCTGTGTGTGTGTCTGTGTGTGTGTCTGCATGTGTGTCTGCGTGTACAGACATGCAGAGATCATTCAGTTACCCAGAAGACTTGATTAACAAGAACACCAAAGCTCCACCGGATCACACGATTTGCTGTCCCCTCATTTGTTAAACAAACAACTTTTTCCTTCTTTGCTATTCCTTAGCTGGTAACCAGGAATGGAACCCCAGCATGCTCACAGCACTGCTATGCATTCGGTGAAAATGGCCTTCCTACTTCTTGGTATGCTCTGTTTATATTTTAATGCTATTTACAGATGAAATATTCCATAAATATTCATATAGTGCCTGTACAAAGGAAAGGATCTGAAGAGCTCTTTATTAACAAGCTCCCTT